GCAGTTCTCTCTGTGTGTGTGTGTGTGTGTGTGTGCAGAAGTACCGTTACCATGACGAGGAGACGCCGCCGCTGCAGCACAGTCCAGCTCATCTGACCGTCAGCGACACCGGACACGCCCCCATCGACGGTCTCCACGGTTACACACCCCAGATGCACGTGTCACCCGCCAAAGTAAGAGTCCTGTGTGTGTTTGAGCTCCTCATGAGTCCGTCAGCACAGAGCAGCTTTCAGCCATGACCTCTGACCTCATAATAACAGAGTGAGCAGTCACACAGCAGCTGATTTTAATAGATCTTCATTTTAATGATCTCAATATCAATTCTTAAATCATCAAACATTTTTATAGCATGACTGCTGCACAGTGATCTTTGTGCTTTGTTACTTTTGATATGAAAGTCTCAGCGTTCAAATTCAAATTTAACACTAAATTCAGTCAGTAAATGTGTTTTTGTCTCAATCAATTCAACTCTACATCAGCCAGAAAGATCACTCTAGAGGAGCGTTCTGATAAATATATGCCCTATATTACATATTTATCATATTTTACTATGAATAAATCTGTCATGAAAACAAGTTTTGTTTTTATTTCAACAGCAAATTGTGTTTGTTCCCATAGCAACTAATCGCCCACACCTTTCTCTTGTTGCTCCTCGTTATCGTTATATTTATTTAGTTCCGGATTCATGTAAACATCTCTTGCTCTCACTAGTCTCTGGGTTGTGTTTCAGCCGGTGTTGCTCCCCAGCGGTCACGCGCCTTTCTATGCCTCCTCGACTCTGGTGAGTGCTTCTCCGCTTCTGATTGGCTGTGATGTCATTTCCTGTAGACGCCTCACTGGTCTTTGACCGCTTGTCTGCTTGGGTGACGTATTTCTAGTCTGTGTAAAAGGCTTGATTACTGATGTTTTGACAGAACTCGTTAACACTTTACAGTAAGACCCCATTAGTTCATGCTCGTTAATGCATTAATTAACAATGAGCAGTACATTTGCTACAATATCTGTTAATGAAAATACAAAAGTTCATGTTTGCCCAGGTCCAATAAATGATATTAACAGACACAACGTTTGCTTTTAATAATGTATTAGTAAATGTTGAAATTAAACATGAATTAAGATTAATAAATGCTTTAGAATTTATTTCATTTTAGAAGTTGGTTTTCACCACTTTAATTATGACTTTTCATCTCAGTTCTGAGACAACAGTCAGAATTATAAGATATAAATAGAATTGCAAGACACAAACTCAGAATTCTGATCTCTTTTCCCACAATTCCAAGTTTACATCTAACCATTTTCTTTTTATATAAGAGTTCTTATATTGACAAGCTGACTTTAATTGAGAGTTTCTGTCACAATTCTGAGTTTACTTGCAATAATGTTTGTTTTTTCACCATGGAATAACTTTTTATCTCACATTTCCAACTGTTCTCAGAATTCTAACTTTATATCTGATATTTAAATATTTATTTTTTATATAATTTTTTATATTTATCTTTTATATAAATTTATCTAATATATAATTTTGACTTTTTTTCCCAAAATTGTGAGAAAAAGTCTGAATTGTGAGATAAAAAGTCACAATTACCTTTTTAATTGTTTTCAATCCTGATATTGATAACTATATTAGCGTCCGCAGCCGTGACAAGTGCGCTGCGGTTTTGTCGTCTGTCTCTTTAAATGCTGGAACTCTTTCAAGCAGGATGGATTCTGATTGGCTGTCACTGTTTTTATCATTCATCAGCTAAAAAAATATCTCTGAAAGTGATTCCAGCGATATCGTTATGGTTATAGTTGTCATGTGTTATCATCCTTTAGCCATAAATCCTGCTCTGAAGGGTGGATTTAGTGTGCGTTAAAGGGTTAGTTCACCCAAAAATGAAAATTCTGTCATTAATTAGTCACCCTCATGTTGTTCCAAACCCGTAAGACCTTCGTTCATCTTCGGAACACAAGTTAAGATATTTTTGATGCATTCTGAGAGCTGTAATTTACTCGATCAAGGTCCAGAAACGTAGCAAGGAGATTGGTAAAATAATCCTATTAAACTATACCTTTAAGGGGACAGAGCTCCGCCTCCAAACATCAGATTCAGCCTCTGATTGGCCGCTTCACGTGTTTGGTCAGATGAGTCATGTGACGCCGGGTGGTGGGCGGAGCTCCAGGTGACAGACAGCTGCTCTCTCTCCTGCACTCACACTCATAGATATGTATAGATGCCCTATTTGACCGCTCCAGATACAGTCAACGCGCTCAAAGATTCGCAGACCGTTCCATGGCGGATGGCTTATGTATCGCGGCCCATAGAAACAGTCGCTGATGAGGCATCTAAGTATATATATCTATGCTCACACTAGCACACAAATCACCATGGAGACGGCAGGGATCTTGGTCTCCATAGCAACAGGAACACTTGATCAGAGAGAGTGTGTGTGTGTGTGTGTGTGTGAGAGAGTGTGTGTGTGTGTGTGAGTGAGTGTGTGTGAGTGTGAGTGAGTGAGTGTGTGTGTGTGTGTGTGTGTGTGTGTGTGAGAGAGTGTGTGTGTGTGTGTGAGTGTGTGTGTGCTTTGGCAACATTGTGTTACACAGTCATGCTAATAAAGCTTAATTGAATTGAATTGAAATTGAGTGTGTGTGTGTGTGTGAGAGAGAGAGTAATGTGGTGAATAATAAGCTGAAGGTTATAGTGTTTGGGTCTGAACTCTACAGAAAGTTCAACACACTTCTGTTACCTCCACAGATTGTCATTTAGATCATTTCTCTGGTTCTGCTGTAATTATTTGTAGGACAGTTTTTGAACCTCTGAATTTAAATGTTTTAGTCATTTTCAGCTGTTTACAGTCTGGTGTGTTTTCCTCATATCTCTCAAGCAGTGTAGCAACTCAAAAATCACTTACAGCACTATCTATTCTATTCTTTTATTTAATCTACATCAGCGATTCTCAGTCATTCTGTCAGCTGAATCAAAACACTTTCTTGAAGCTCTCCTGAAATTTGAAGTTAATGTTTTAATAATTTCTAAACGGACACGGTTAACTGATGACCGTTATTGGTCACGTGACATGCAGGTAATGAAATGTCATCTTTTTAGTAAGTTTTTATTTTGACTGATTATATTTTTTAAATTATTAGTTGTAATTTTAAATTATACTTTAATTAATTATTAGCTTTTCTTCCCGCGTTTGATCTCTACATTATTGTTATTGGCGCCTTTTTCTGTCAGAGCAGAGAACAGAAGCGCGGTGACTGTGCTGTGAGAGAGCGCGCGGCAGTGGGAGAGTGTGTGTGTGTGTGTTTGTGTGTGTGTGTGTGTGTGTGAGAGAGAGAGAGTGTGTGTGTGTGTGTGTAACGGTCGCGCGGCAGCAGGATGAAGCTCCTCGCTAGCTCGTTTCTGTTCGTCTCGCGGTAACGCTAGATTTCGCGCTCGTGATTCAGGCTGAAGCAGAAGATGAAGCGACTCTGACACGCCGCGACTGCTGTCATCATCACCTTCATCATAATCTTCCTCATCCTCATCATCTGTCTGTGGTCGAGCGCCGGTCGCGGATTCTCTCTCTCTCTCCGCCGGACTCTGATCGATCCGGTTCGGTTCTGTTCGGTTTGATTCGGTGTCGGTGTGAACGCGTGTGTGATGTAATCCTGCGGTTTTGACGTCATGTTCGTGTCGGTTTGGTACGCGAAGAAGATGGGCCGAAGATTCATCAGCAACGTGCGCAAAGCCAAGAGACACAGACAGAGAGTGACGGTGAGACAGCTGTGAGTGTGTGTGTGTGAGAGAGAGTGAGGCAGCTGTGTGTGTGTGTGTGTGTGTGTGTGTATGTCTGTGTGAGAGAGAGTGAGGCAGCTGTGAGTGTGTGTACTGGTTTATATATTCTGGTGGGGACTTAAACCTGAATACACACAGACTCATGGGGACTCGTGTCACGGTGGGGACCTAAATTGTGGTCCCCACGGGTACAAAAGCTTATAAATCATACAGAATGAAGTTTTTTGAAAATCTGAAATAGCACAAAGTTTCCTGTGAGGGGTAGGTTTAGGGGTAGGGTTGGTGTAGGGCAATAGAAAATACGGTCTGTACAGTAGAAAAACCATTACGCCTATGGAGAGTCCCCACAAGGATAGCTGACCAGACAGTGTGTGTGTCCGTGTGTGTGTGTGTGTGTGTCTGTGTCTGTGAGA